ATATATATATATATATATATATATATATATACACACATACATATATATATATGTATATATATTTATATATACTCATTCAATATTACACGTATTTCGATCAGAATTATAGAAACAATATTATACGAATAGTGTTACAAAAAAATATACAGATTAGTTAATGAATTTCTTCGGCGTTGTGATCGATGCATCTAGACAGGCATATATTCAAGAAAATAATCAACAACAGTTTGACATGGAGTTCTTTTTTATTTTTTTTTCGTATAGATATGATTTATCATAGAAGTAGTGTATGTGTGTATTTGTGTATTGTGTTTTGGAATTTTTTGTGATATTTTATTTATATTTCATATATGTATATTAATGTAAACGTAAGCACACGCAAATATATGCAAAATAGTAAATATATTTGCGTATTCGTACGTGAACCATCAGCACAATGCGTCGCATGCACGTGCAACATTCCAAACAGCATAATAACAATGCTGTCTCCTTTCTTTATCTTTGCAACCTGACCAAATCTCACCTACAATATTTACTTATTAAATATTTACAGCGATAATTTTTTGTTGTAATTCACTTATCGACATGTTTCCAACAACGTTTTTTTAATATATAAATTATTGTAATTTTATTTATTTACTGCGTCTTCAGTGTATTTCATGTTTCATCCCGTCGAATGATACATTCTACTACTGAAGTAGAATGGAATCTTTCAAGGAGACAAATATTATAAATCATTAATACTTAGCTCATTCATAAAATCTTTCACTCTTTTGTATTTCACGTATATTTCAATTTTACAGTGTGAAAAAAGCAAGAGCCATAAATGTGATTTTTCTTTTATTCTCATTCTTCTCGTTCCTCTTTTGGTTTTACTTCGTTTCTATCATGTTCAAAAAAATATGCTGCGTTTTATACTTTAAAACCTGCTATTATATAATTGATAAAAAATATACAAGAATTTTTTCAACATTCTGTAATTAATTTTGGATTACCAAACACAAAATATAAATTTGGAGTAAACTGCATAATATCAATTATAAGATACGATAAAAGAAATAACCATACAATAAAATAAGAAGTCGCGATGATGAAGGGCCTTTATCATAATAATTTACGAACGTACTATAAATTTTCTATTGTAAGCATTAAATTTTTTTACATTGTATGTTTATATATACGTATACATGTATAAACATGAGTTTATACATAAATATGATTTAAGTCAGTCGGATAGAATATATGGTAACCTTATATCCCTTCAACAACGCAGACTTTTTTATAAAGATAAATAACAAATTGAGCTAGTATCTAATAATCGAATAATAAATTTGAATATTTCGATATTAATTAGTAATTACAATTTCTTAAATAAAAGAGAATATTTAATATGAGGAACATTAGACAAAAAGTTATAGCTACATTGTTTACTGTCTAATGTTTCTCTTTATTTAAGAAATTTATATATATATATATATCCAACATATATATAATATATAT